GTCCGATGCTTCTTGCGAATCGACTCGCTCGTACGAACGATTTCCTTCGCGATTTTCTCCCTCTCGTCGATATCTTTCGTGTCAAGCGTCATCGTCAACGTCTCGAGAACAACTAACCATTCCGCGGTACCGCAAACTCGTTAAAAGCACGTCTGTATCGTCCATCGTTAATCGTACTATCCTTGTCTATCACTAAAAATCCGTACTTGTGCTGCCAACATACGTGACACAATGTACTGAAATCTTCATACGTCATGTCCGTATTCACATGATCGTTGTAGACATGCTAAGGTTTGTTCCATCTTGCTTGAATATTACGAGTAAATTCGCGTTGTCGCGCACGAGATGTTTCGGTATTTTTGCATATGTTTGGCACAGATAGAAACAATCGACTTTCAAATGTCGACCCATAGCAAAGTACTCGCGTATCGCATTCTGCTAGTCACACGCTATATCGTCAAAGACGAATACGGAATTCGGTAATGCCTCGCTGTGCGGTACAATTGTGTTGTTGTCTGAGAATGTAAAGTAGCCGATTTCATCGATCGATCCGAGCAATCTTTCGAGATATCGATACTTTGATTGATTCAACGATTTCGAGTACACGTACACGTTTTCGAAACGTACACCGTTCGGACTTTCCAGCAGACTAATCATTACATTGGTTTTACCGCAATTCAAGGAACCGCAAATGATACCGCGTATCGTGTTTGGCAACATTTTACCATGTCTGCACGCCTTCTCACAAACCCCTTGCGTCTTATCATCCATGTTTTTCACACGGATCGTGTACGGTTGTTGTACAAATTTCATTTTTTACCAGACTCTTTCTCATCCTTGTTATTACGCGACGAGTGCGCAGCATCGGTTGTTGGAAAGAGCGGTGCTCGGATATTTGTTCCTAGATCTAAAATATCTCTATTTCCATACATGATTGGGACATTATCCTGAAAAAAAAATATTGTTTCAAACACACGATTAGCAATACACGTTTGCGACATTCACCTCCTTCCGTTCCTTCTTATTATCCCGGTTATTCATTGTACTTTGCTGTCTGACAAACTTTGATATTCTACTAGTTAATGATCGATACGCGCCTCCTATTTATAGGTGAGCGCTGTCGAAACAAACCTCAGTTGGAAATATGATTTACACGCGATACGTTAGAATTCGCGCTCTATGAAACGATACAAGGGTGCCGGTTTACTGAATAGTGTGATAAATCGACTATCGTTGGAGCTGCATATACCCGGCTACCAATTTTGCGGGCCGGGGACTCGTCTGCGGAAACGACTCGCGCGAGGGATCGAGGTATCAATCGTTAGACGGTATACGGCGGTAGCAGCGGCCCTCTCACCGAGAGTTGCGTTTCAGCGGACGCGGCGTGCCGCGATCACGACATTGCGTACTCGCAAAACCGCGAATCAGCGGACCGCCACGCAGCCGATCGCGTTCTCGCCGATAAAGCGCGGGTGCGGATCACCGCTGCGGACGCGACTCTCGGTGAGAGGGCCGCTGCTACCGCCGTATGGGCTGCTATGAAAGCAAAGACGAAATTGGGGATGGGTATGACAAAGAGACAGAAGAAGACCAAGAAGAGAACGCTTCCGACTGCGAAACGCGGTGGTATGTTACCGTTGTTACCGCTCTTGGGAGTCATCGGTTCGCTTGCCGGTGGAGCGGCGGGTGTTGCAAAGGTGGTGAACGACTCTAAGGCCGCGCGACGACAACTCGAAGAAACGAAACGTCACAATAAAGCAATGGAAGGACGGGGGATTTATCTCGCTCCGTACAAGCGGGGCAAAGGATTGAAGAAAAAAAAAAACGTCGAAAAAACGATAGAGATGCCCGCGGGTGCCACCACCAATCTACAGTTGTTGCAATTGGCGAGGCGTATGCGAATACCATATTTCCGAGGTGTCTACATGCGTAACACTTTACCCGACAAGATACATAAAAATGAGAGCGGTATCGTGAATTTGGATGATGTCGACGGGCCGGGCACGCATTGGGTGGCGTACGACAAGAGAGACGATCGCGCCGTATACTTTGACAGCTTTGGCAATTTGCAACCGCCGAACGAGATTACATGCTACCTCGGAGGCACCGATACAACGATAACGTACAATCGCACAGTCTACCAGACGTACGATCAAACGATCTGCGGACAATTGTGCCTCCTGTTCCTCCAGAAAATAGATATAAAAATCGATCCGCCATCGATCGACATCAGTCGTCGATAGAATCTCGGCAATGTCGCTGACGCTCACTCTAAGCGGTAAAAGCAGCGTTCTCACGGTGGATTATTTTCCACCGATAGACTTGAGCGATGGGAACTACGAGCTCGGCCTAACCACGATGGAGACCTACAACGCGATTCCGAACGTGACAGTAGCGAACAATAAATTTTATTTCGATGACAATGACGAAGAAATTACAATTCCCGAAAGATCGTACGAATTGGACGCCATTGCTTCTTATCTGAATCGCGCGATACTGCAAAAACGAAGAAAAAGTGAAGAGCAAGATTATCCATTGTCAATTCATCTCAACGTTAATACCATGAAGAATAAAATTATGTGCGCTTTCCGGATAAATTTTGCCAAACCGAATACCATCGGACCATTGTTTGGATTTTCGGGTCGTATACTGGAACCGAAAAAGTGGCACGAATCAGACTCCTCGGTAAACATTGTCAACGTAAACATTATAAGAGTGGAATGCAGCATTACCGCGGGTGCGTACGCCAACGACAAGTCGGTGTACACGATACACGAATTTTCACCGAACATGCCTCCGGGATATAAAGTCTCGGAAACACTGGCGCAAATCATTTACCTTCTGGTCATCGCAAGGAGCGTTACTGATATCACTTTGCGCGTGGTGGATCAAGAAGGACGATTGATTGACTTTCGCGGAGAGGAAATTACCATCAGACTGCACTTGCGACGACGTGGTGCGAGGAAATGCTCGTGTTGAACGAGCAGCGAGTGATTGAGAAAACAACGAAAATTGAGAAAAAATCGCCAATCAAGAGGCTCAGTACGACGAACGTAAACTTTTTACAATCATTGGAATTTGTTGTAAGAAACGTTTAAAAAGATGGATATACTCGACATCGCTGACGAGCCCGTCAACGACGAGCGTATCGTAAAATATGAGATGCACACGTACAATCCGTACGCTAACACAACGTTGGGACACAGCGACGAGATACGAATACCTATACAACAACAGGATTTATACACGTTGCCGTGTGAGAGTTTTCTCTACATTGAAGGAAAACTTGTTACTCCTGCCGATGAGAATAGAGATAACGTGTGTATAATAGGAAATAATTGTGTCGCGTTCATGTTTGATGAAATGCGATACGAGCTCGACGGAGTTGAAATCGATCGTAACAGAAACGTTGGAATAACGAGCACGATCAAAAATTATATATCGCTGACGACGGAGAAGAGCAAGATGTTGAAGCATGCATCGTGGAATCCGAATGGATATCCGTTGATCGATGGAAACTTTAATTTTTGCGTTCCGCTCAATACTCTTTTGGGATTCTGCGAGGACTATAAACGGATTGTAATCAACGTTCGTCACGAACTTGTATTGAAACGATCGCGCAACGATAACAATTGTCTCGTTGGACGAGTCGGTACGAATCCAACGATTGAACTACTCAAGATGCAGTGGCGAATGCCGCACGTATTTCTGAGCGAAGTCAACAAGCTGTCTCTTCTTCGAACTTTGGAAAGTGGAAGATATTTAAGCGTGTTCTTCCGTTCGTAGGATCTGTACAAATTTTCTCTGCTGCAGAATACAACGAAGCATTCCTGGGCGGTCAAAGCCGCGACGCAATTGGAAAAACCGAGATACGTAATCTTTGCTCTCCAAACCGGTCGAAAAAATGTACTGTCTGAAAACGCTGCGGAATTTGACGCTTGTAAACTCACCAATGTGAGACTGCATCTGAATTCAGATTTTTATCCGTACGACGACATAAACTTGGATTTCGACAGAAATCGATACGCTATACTGTACTGATGTATGCGCGTTTCCGCAAAGCTTATTACGGATTCGATAATACGTATTTGGACATAGATGATTTTTTGAAAGCCGGTCCGTTCGTAGTCATAGATTGTTCGCGACAAAACGACTCTGTCAAGAGCGCCACCGTTGACGTGCGAATAGAATTTGATTGTAAAGAAAATATACCGGCCAACACCACCGCCTATTGTCTCATTATACACGATCGAATGGTTGAATATAATCCACTGAACAACATTGTGCGCAGACTCGTATGATATTTTATAAATTGGAGATGTGTACGCGGACATGTCAGTTTTCCGACGATCGACGACGATGTCGAATGTACCAATTTTCGTCGATCTGCAAGGTTACGCGTTCAACAACATTTTTATTGTGAAAGAGGTAGCGGTACTTCGAGATGGCGAAACGTTATCTCATTACGTATTTCGTGAACACGTACCGTGGTATTTGTTGACAAAATCGGAAAAATCGCTGGTGTGTTGGTTACGGATACACCACCACGGCTTCCGATGGGAAGATGGACACGTCTCGTACAGTCAGATGAAAAGTCTTATCAACAATGCCATTGGTACGGAACCGTCTCTGATATACGTGAAAGGACTCGAGAAGAAAAAGTGGCTGTGTGAAATTTTGGATGACGATGATTTCGAGATCGAAACGATCGATGTGGATTACGAAGATATCGCACGCCTGACGAACTTGGATGTAATCGGAACCTTGCGTTGTGGATATCACACGAGACATTGCGCTGTGCAGAATGTTTGCAAATTGTACAAGTGGTGGTTTGTTTATCCCGCAGTAGTTTATACTAGATCTATCAAACACCTATCGATCGATATACGGTTACTCGGTTTATGAATAAGAGTAAAACAGCCTCGTGACAGAAATATTCACGGGTGTCAAATTCATTATATGGAGTCGCTATGATATCTCTTATGAGATTTGTTTATCCTGCAGTAGTTTATACTAGATCTATCAAACATCTATCGACCGATATTCGGTTACTCGGGAGAAGAATTATGTTTCACAATTATAAATTTGGAGTATGTTTGAAAAGATAACCCCCGTAGAGCGGTCACATAGATTTGCAACACATCTAAGAAATGTACTATAAAATAGCGTCGAAGGCTGGGACGGTCACAAGTCTCCTGCAGTTCGAGAGAATCTGTGTGTGACAGTTTTGCGAGTAAGTCTCAGGAGAGTTTGAAAAATGGCGCAGTTATATGTGAACAAGATTTACGCAATCGAGCATTTGTTGAGGACCCTGACGGACCGGATCACCGTCCTGCACGTTGCGATCCACCGATTCCGGGAGGCCACCCTGATGGTGCAGCGACACATCCCCGGCAGAGCTGCCAGTTTTCCCCGGAGAGCTCCACACGCACACAACCGAGATCCGCTGACGTCACGTGTCTGTGTGCGCTCGGCTGTCGACGGTAGAAGTGGGCGGACCTATGTCTTGTATCTCTTTCCCACCAAGCCTAGCATAAAAACCGGTTTTGACGCTCGCACCGTTTCTTCTGCCAAGCGTTGGCAGCGAAAATGCTTTCCCGAATGCTTTCGCTCCACGCGACTAAGTCGATTAGCGGCGTGTTGCTTTCGCTCGACGCGATATTTTTTCTGAGATTTACAGTCTTTTATGAAACATATATCATATTCATATTAATAAAATATTTTAACATTATGTATTTGCAGAATATGATTTTTCACGTTAATGTATAAAATAAGAATAAAGTAATAAAAATTATATATTGCAATATATAAACAAAACAAGTAACATTTAATATATTATTAATTTATTTATATGTTCCAATTTTACACATTAACGTGAAAAATCACATTATAAATGCATAATATCTTTTGTAAATAGCAAGATACATTGAGAAGTAAAGGAAAGAATTGATTGAAAATAAAAGAAACATGTTTTTACTTAAAAAATATTTATGACTATCTTATTTAACACAAAAGTAATCTGGACAAAGCATACCAATGTGATTATACATCGGATAGTTTAGTATTTAAACTTTATTTTAACCATTTTAATATAGTGGTCTTCCGCACCACCCAAGAGGTGGATCTTCGCCAGGAACCCTATTGTATCACTTTTCATTTTTCTTTATACATTATCTTTATATAGATATGGTGTCAGCAGGCGTTTGCAGACAAGATACTTATCATACACTTGTCGGTCATAAATGTGGTGTCATTTGTAGACAAGATACATGTTACATATCGTTTACAAGTGTGTCATTTGCAGACAAAATACTTGTTACATGCCTGTCGTTTATAAGTGTGGTGTCCTTTGTAGACATATTAATGAAATTTTATTTATCTTAATTAAAAATGATAAGGGTCAACAAATAATAAAATTATAAAAGGAAAGGAGCAATAGGAATCAAAACGCTAGATTTTAGTGCGAACGAACTTGTATTGAGTTATAATAACATTAGTATAAACAGACATTTCATAGCCTGTCATCAGGCTATCCTTAGTGTGAAATAAATAAAATACATATGAAAACGCACGCTGATTTACATTAAGATCTGAGTTAAAACAAATATAATTTAGACGCAAGATTTGTTGTAAAACTAATAA